AGAGACAGCACAGCAGCAACTGGCATGTCATGACAAGCAGCCCATATTCAGAAGACCAGAATGACAGGCACTGCAAGCATGAACCTACTATTACAGATTGATATCTTCAGTGCAGTTGCTTAGTTCACAGTTGTCTGTATATATAGTTAGTCAGGGTGTGAATCATTCCAGTGAATTGTTTGATTCAAAAATCTTCTGAAGATTCTCAGGATCATTGCCTTACCCATCTTCTACATATAACTGTGTGGCTTGTCCCCATCATGTTTCCTAGCTCTTATTCTTGCTCTCTTTTCATTGTCTAGTCCTCAAGTTCTTGCTTTCCTTTTAGTTGTATTATACCTTTCTATTAGTATTTCTTCTTTTGAGTTCTTATACTAGGGTCATTTGCTTATTTATATTTTAAGTTTCTCCTAAAAATGGAAAACATACCATGTTTAATTTTCTGAGTCTAACTAACTTATTTTACTTGGTATGATGGTCCCAGTTTCCACCCCTTAGCCTGCAGATGATAGGATTTCATTCTTCCTCATAGTTGAATACTAGGCCATTTTGTATATATGCCACATTTTCTTTATCCATTCATCTCTGGAAAGTCATCTTGGCTGTCTCCAGAGCTTAAGAGTCATGAATTGCACTCCTATATGTAAACATGGGTATGCATGTATCACTATAATGTGATGCCTTTTCTTTGGGTAATATACCCAAGAGAGATATATCTGAATCAAATGATATTTATACCGAATCCACCAAAAAAAGTATACACTGAAAAAATGTGCCAATATTATAATACTAAATTTACTGAGACATCATAAGATTAATACAATTTACCCTTTGCCTCTATAATGACAAGAGGTGCTCACATTAGTGATCATTAGCTTTCAGACATTCATTAGTACAGTGAACTGCTAAAATGTGCATACATTTTTTTTGATAAACTATATTTTTAGTTTACTGAGGAATCTCCATACTGATTTTTATAGTGGTTGAACTAGTTTGCATGCCCACCAACACTGTAGAACTCCCCTTTCCCCACATCCTCACCAGCATTGACTGTTTATTTGAAACAGTTCTTTTGTTTTACAGTTTGATGAGCTTCAGCCTCTTATAGATGAGCCTAAGACTTTAATCCAACACAATTGTGAACTTTATGAGAAGCTTGGAGAGTATGGATTCCAAAATGCGTAAGTATTTTTGTTCTATCACCAATATTCTCTTGATCAATTTGTAACTATTTAAGACTTAATATATATGTCACCTGGCATCTGACTTTTAATAATGAAAATATGTTGTATATTTTTAATTCCTCATTATCAAGAAAGCCTGGAGAGGCAACGTAAAATGATTGGTTAGATGAGAGGTCCATATCTACATAGAGTCTAAAATGTAGGTCTTCAGACTGGGAGTGTGTAGGCTGAAAGTTTAATACCAAATCTTGGTATAACTCGGGATGTCAGTAGATGGTTAAAGAATAGTTTATGATTTCTTAAATTTATTTATTTATTTTTAGACGGGGTCTTGCTCTTCAGTGTAGGCTGGCTTTGAACTCACTATGTAGCCCTGGCTGGCCTTGAACTTGCAGCAATCCTCCTGCTTCAGCCTCTTGAGTGCTGAGATTATAGGAGTGTGCCACCATGGAGCCTGCTAAGGGATAGTTTATGAACAAATAAACCATAGTGATATTTTACAGAGCAGGAAATAATAGGCCTTAAATAGCTATAGATCAAGAAGCAATATAATAGTTCAACACAAAAATATAAGAAAGTGGATTTAGATATATTTGTGAATTATGATCATCCATTTGGGGAAACACCAGATATCTAGCATTCTTCAATGTATGTTAGGTATAGTAACAGTGAACAAGCCATTGTTTCTCACCTTGAGTAGATTATAGTCATATACAGGCTTCCAGTAATAATGGGATTCTTTATAAATGATTATTATATGGTACATTTTATTGCACATATTATTTCTTTTAATGTCCTTATCTTTAGTGAGGCAAGTATATTGTCTTCTATTTTTAACCCTCATTTTTCAAGTTTATCACAGTACTGATATATATTAAAATCTCTGTAGAATTTACTATAAGAAAGGAGTATAACAAGTGTGTTTTTACCACTGAATTATGATAAAGTAACTCTCTAAGATTATATGATAGAAGTTGTATTCAAAGCCACTTTTAACTGGTTGCTAAGAACAGGACCTTACTCTGATATTACTCTACCACTCTGGAGATGAAGATACTGTGAATGGAAAAAATGTAAGAATTGACTATGGCTAAATTTTCTATGCTTGATCTACTTAAAAGGACAATTTAGTGAGTAGATGAAAACACATGAACTCTCTTCTTTTAAAGGCTCCTGGTCCGTTACACTCAGAAAGCACCACAGGTATCAACTCCGACACTCGTTGAGATTTCAAGAAAACTAGGAAGCGTGGGATCAAGATGCTGCAAACTCCCTGAGTCAGAAAGGCTGTCCTGTACTGAAAACTATGTGAGTCTTTTAAAAGTTTATAGTGAGGAGTTTAAAAATATATTGACAAAGTTAACTTTTAGAGCTAGAGTTACCTTAATGTACATGTACATGATATAGTAGTGGTAACCAGGATGGGTTACTTATATTATTGTATTAAAATTAGGATTTAGATAAGATAACAAAGATGTTATCTTGTTTTTTAAAATTTGCAAATTTCTAATATTCTTTCCTGACATTTTTTTCAATTTTTACTTTCTTCAGAGTTTCTGTTTTATGTGTTAGTTTGACTGTTTCCTCCCCACTGCAAGACATAAGCCTGTATCATCTCAAATTGTTTTCATCAATTTTCTCTCTCTCTCTCTCTCTCTCTCTCTCTCTCTCTCTCTCTCTCTCTCTCTTTCTTTCTTTCTTTTTTTCTTTCTTTCTTTCTTGTGGTACCAGGGATTGAACTCAAGACCCTGCACTTGCCAGTGTAGCACTTATTCTACCGAGCTATCTCCCCAGCCCAACAATTATTTTTTTAAGTAAATTATTCTAGCATGTCGATACTTAATAAAAAGAGTAGAATTTGTAGTGCTTATGTTTAGTTCCAAAGATAAATTACTGTTCCAAATAACTTTACATTCATTGCTGCTGGCTCTTTTGGGGTGTGAAGACCATGTTCCTGGAAGGCTTCCCCTTCGCTGCTTTTCACTTTCTGCTTTCTTCCCTGTTCTTCAGCTCGCCTTGATCCTGAACCGGCTGTGCGTGTTGCACGAGAAGACACCAGTGAGTGAAAGAGTGACCAAATGCTGCACCGAGTCCTTGGTGAACAGGAGACCGTGCTTTTCTGCCCTGCAAGTTGATGAGACTTATGTCCCCAAAGAGTTCCATGCTGAGACCTTCACCTTCCACGCAGACATCTGCACGCTTCCAGAGCATGAGAAGCAGATCAAGAAGCAAACGTGAGGACTACTTCATTATCACCTGAGACTGTAGTTTGGATAGGGAGACACATCAGTTGAAATGAGAAACTTTGTATCTCAGTTTCATTTCAGTACCTTTATCAAGTACTGATTGTATTAACTTATTTAAGTATTGAGTTATTAAACTGATAAAAGTATCAAGAATAAAAAAGTAGCTACTTTCTTAGTGAGGAAACTACGTCACAATCTTATCTACAAGTCATTCAGAGTAGCATTGTTCCAAAACCACAGTGGAATGAGATCATAGGCCATATCCAATAGGAAAAATTGAAAGATTAACTATCAATTTGTGAGAGATAGCAAATCAGTTGTAGAAATTCTAAGCAAAAATAATTACTTTAAGCTCATTCAGTGGTGAACACACAAGTGAGACAAATGTCTGAAATTGACTTTTGAGAATAACACTTGGGTAAAGCCACCTGGAAATGCAAGTTTAAGCCTTGCTTCTCTGCCGTTGCCACAAGTAGCATGAAACTTAGCAACAGAAAGCTGCTGTCATTTCTGGTGGCCTGTGATCATGGTTCAGACTTTAAAATAATACCATTGCAAAGCCTATGTGGTATCTACAGTACTCTTTCTCCTCTCTCTCTCTCTCACTGTCTCTGATTCTGTGTTTGTCTCTCTATCTCTCTCTCCTCTCTCCTCTCTCTGTCTCTCTCTCTGTCCCTCCCTCTCTCGCTCTCTGTCATTGTCTCTGCAGATGCCGTGTCAGTGAGTAAGACACACCAGCTCCCACTTGCTTGCATAGTCCTATTTCCTGTTGCACTGCATTACTAACTTTGAATGAGGCAAATTTCAAAAAACAAATGTGACGATTCTTTTCTTTAAATTGTGCCTTTCAGATGTTATTTACTCTTTCAGGTTCTTACACTAGGGAGATAATATGATGTTTACACATGTGGGTCTGATTTATTTAACTTATGAGCATGGTCTCTAGTTGCATCAATTTACCTATGAAAGCCTCGAGATTGCCATTTTTATAGCTGAATAATATTTCACTGTATAAAATATCACATCTTTTTTATCCACTCCTTGGTTGGTGAGATTTTGGGTTGTTTCCAAGATTTAACTATAACAAATTGCATTGCTATAAACATGGAAATGCTTCTATCATTGTACTATGATTTTTTTAATATCTTTTGGAAAAATATCCAGGAGGGGAATAGCTGGCTTGAATGGGACCTCTGATTATAGTTTTTTGAAAATAAAGCCAAGATAATTAAATTTTTAAAAATAATTTAAAATTCTTAAATAGGTATAAAATTCAGTAGATAGCACATTTCTAAATCTGAATAATGTCCAAATACAGCCACATAGTGTTTTCCAGTGATTGAGTTTACATAAAACATTGAGTGATTTGCATTGATTACCATATTTGATCCTTACACTAGGCATAATAAATGAATTTCTTTATTTCTACCCACAAATGAGAATATCAAGGTTGATGGTGCCTGGGCCTCACACGCAGAGTTGCTTGACTCCCAGGGTTTAATTTTAAATGATATTACCTGCATTTTTCTTTATAGAAGTAAACTTTTCCTGCTGTTTCTCTTTTTTCTGGTCATGTACAGGGCACTTGCTGAGCTGGTGAAGCACAAGCCCAAGGCAACAGGGGACCAACTGAAGACCGTCCTGGGAGAGTTCTCAGCTTTCCTGGAGAAGTGCTGCCATGCTGAAGACAAAGAGGCTTGCTTTTCAGAAGATGTACTGAACTTTTTTTTTAAATTGAAATGTGTCTAAGTTTCTGTTTTCATGCATTTGGTCAGCTTTGGGTTATGAGATTTGTATATTGAAGGAGCTCTGGACCAGAGATCTTATTTTACACACTTTTTTTTTTTTTTTGGTGGAGGTGGGGATTGAACTCAGGCTGTTGTACTTGCCAGGAAAGTGCTTATTCTACTGAGCCATCTCCCTGGCCCACATATAATTCTCTTACAGAATGACTTAAGTAGTTCTTGGTTTCTGTATCCTGCTTTGCTATGAGATAATAGTAAATATTCATAGTGCCTTTCCATTTTCAAATTTATGATGCTTGTGAATATAGACAAAATATTTGTAAAACTTGAAATCTTTTGGTCAGTAGAACAATTTCATAAACATTTTCCTGCAAAGTATTAGTTTGTACTTTAATTGATATTTATAGGTTAGTGGGGAGATGTTTCCATTTAAATATTCATATTATTTGATGTTTTTTCCTGTGACTTGACAACACTTCTAAAAATTTATTTTGGGGTGAGCGAATGCTATTGAGTTTCTTTGTAGAGATTCTGAGAGTAACTTGAAATTAATGGGTAGGATGCATAAGAAATCACCTTACATGGTGACCCCCAATAACTGTATAAATGCTGTCCTTAGTCGAATGACAATGCTAATATTTTCCAATGTCTGTCATCTCTTTGCCTTCAGGGTCCAAAACTTGTTGCCTCAGCTCAAGCTGCTTTAGCCTAAAAACATCCTAAAAACAAATATCTCAGGTAACTACATTTTAGATTTCCAAAAGTAATTACAGTTGTTATTATTGAAATAACAAATAGTGATGATTTGCCATAAGCCATTCTGTCCAGCACCAGCCACCATTCTTGTCTTTATACATATGTATTAACCTATTTAGTTTTCAAGTTAGTGGCTGTGTGAGTATTGATAGAAACTGTGCGGTAGAGAGGATGTCCCTGTACTTGTCTAAATGGGAGAATTCAGATAAAATTGTTTTCAATGGTAAAAAATGCTGGAAGTTAGCTTATATATATTAATAGATTTAAAAATACATGTCACTTTCCAAATAGCACTTATGTTTCTCCTTTTGCCTTTCAGCCTACCCTGAGAAAAAGAGATGAAGAGGTGGAACTTGCTCATCTGTTTTTCTTTTCTGATGGTGTAAAACTAACACTCTGACCAAGGACCATAAATTTCTTTAAGCACTTGATCTCTTTTCTCTGTATTACAATTAATAAAAATGAAAAGAATCTAGTGTGGCTGTCCAGAACTATTATTTTCCAAAGGTGTATTGCCATTCTGAAAATGTAGATTCTGGGAAAATTTGTTTTCTCTTTTGTTCCATCTCAGTAAAGGACTTCTAGTTACTTATGGGTTAGTCAATAAAAATAACTTTTCATAACTCATAATTTTATGATTTATGTATTATAAACATTTAATCTAACATTTTTAACATAATTCTGAGTGAATGAATGAGAACAGTAATATATATAATGCATATTCAATATGGCTCTTCTTTACTACTGGGACTCTATAAGAAATAAGGGCATAATAAAAAGAGACCACTGCAGAAGCTAGTGCTTCTAGGAGAAATGTGAGGTTGCTTAGGATGACAATACTTGAAAACTTAAAGGCATTATTAGTGGAGGAGTCCAGGTGAACTGGATGAATGATCAGGAATAACAAAGGCAAGCTGAGTTGAAGAGGAGTAGGGGTTGGAGGGTAAACATTTCTCATAAAGGAATATACCGAACTGCATGTCCATTTTACCTATTTCCAGAGGAAATTGCCCATGCCATACTTTTGTCTAAAAATTTCTAAGTGGGGCCAGGGAGATGGCTCAGTGGAATAAGCGTTTGCCTGGCAAGCACAAGGGCCTGAGTTCGATCCCCAATTCCGCTAAAAAAAAAAAAAAAGAAAGAAAGAAAGAAAAGTAGAATCAGAAAATGGCAAATTTCTTAAAAATTCCTAAGCTTACCAGAGCTTTGCCTATGAAATTAGTTAGTCATTTATAAGCATATTAGTTAGTTTATGTTTTATTTGTATGGACTTGTATTCATACTGTATGTAATACTCCATAATATGTTGGTAGTAATAATGCTTTATAATTTTGCTTTCAGTATGATACTTGCAAAAGTTCATGGTACCAAGTTTTAAAAAACCCCTTCCTATCCCTATTTATATTCCACACTCACTCTATCCACTCCTTAAGCCCTTGAAATCTCTGCTTTGGCCTCACCTCAGACAGATCAAATATTGTCTCACATTTGCTACAATCCTCCCAAAGGCAGAAGTGAGGCCATATGCTTGTGTCTTTTACTCAGACACAGGCAATTCTGAGTAAAGCACTGCCACAGAGCTGAACTGACATGGGACCAAGTCTATGTGCCTTGCCTGAGTGGCACTGCCCTCACAAACAGTCCAGGCAGTGAAAGGGCATCAAGCTTTTGGGACAAAATGTTTCAAGATGTCATTTTCTCTAATCCTAGCTCCCCCTGCTTCCTATGGAGCCAATCAAGTCCCCAGATGTACTTTAAGAACCTCTTGTAATATCAATATGAATTTTCACTGGGAACAGTAGGTTAGTTGACCACATGGTTAAAGTAGTATTCGCTAGTTTCTCCACTGTAAATCTCTTATCTCTCCCCTTCTACACTCCATAATTTGGAAGCAAATAACAGCATCCTGCTCTAGTGCAAAAACGAGAGAGAGAGAGAGTGATTAAGCTCCCACAAAGAGGAATACTTTTATTTTATTCAAAATTCTTCTGGAAGATTTGCTATTTACTCAATTATTCACATCAATATAAATACATATGCATGTATTTTATACTTTGGGCTATAACACAAGCCTACATTTTCTATTTTACTGAAGTATTCTAATTTTGACTATCTCTTTGTATTCCTCTATGTGCCCCCTGTCTTGGTCAGCTCTTTCTTTGGGACCAAGTCCTAACACCTTCAGCTTAAAGGAGGATACTGAGGTTTACTTGGCTATGGCTTCAGCTCATGGAGAACTGGCTCCAAGGCAGGGCACTGTGGCAAGACAGTGTGGAGAACAGAGCTGTTCACTTCATTAAGAAAGGAAGGTAGGTCAGGGAGAAGTAGACCAGGGGAAGGGTCTGGGGACAGACACAGACCCCACTTGACACCTCCACAGCCCTCCAAAAACAGACAACCAAATGCTTTTCCAATCTGTTAGGCAACCTTAATCCAGCCAAGTTGACAATTACAATTAATGGTCACCTTTCCACAAATGAATTTTTGAATGCATCTTGTTTCCTGACACTGCAAGAAACTGCAGGTTCATGTGGTAGTTTTCATCCCCTGACCCTTCAACAGTCATTTATTCAAGGAACCCTGGCTATTTTCATTAGAGAATGTATTAACAAAGATTTGAGCATTAGGGATGTTCACTGCTAGTGATTTAGTTCTTTTCAGGGCAGAGAGTTGAGAAATGTAGATATGAACACTCCCCCATAAGCAGATCTAATGATTTTTATATTTCTGTGTGCTTATATCTATCTATTTATGTACGTAAATATTAATTCACACTGAGGTCTCTGACTTTAATCCAGTTCACTCTAGCCTCCCTCCTTTCCTACTTGTAACTATCTTCTTTGACAGTCAGAACTTGTTTCCTACTATATCTACCTTCTACTTACTTATTTGTTCAGTCCCATGATAAATGTGAAGAAGTATGTCTATGAAAATCAAATTTACCACCCAAAGTACAACACTTGTATACAGTTCATGTTGCCTGTAGTATTATATAATTGTCTTCAGTATTATAATTTTTAAGATAAATATTTTACAAAGTTCTTAGATCAGCTCCACTTCCCTGCTCTCTTCAGTGACAGTATGGTAGCATTTGGGAGGACACACATGCACACAATGAATTTAGTCTGACTTTTGACAGATTCTTGGCCTAAGTTGATACACCGGTACATTCAGCACCTCCATCCTGTGTTTGAGTAGAGTAGCCTGCACCAACACAGAGCATAAAGGTGTCAGGCTGGTGGCAGATGGCCTGTGCCACCCACAGGGGTCACTCCCATCTCCACAAATGCTATATCAAATATGTTGCTCATCTCTTCCATAGTCTAAAGAGACCATTGACATGCATACCAGTGGGCCCTTCTAGTTTATGTCCTCTCTTGCCTTCATTGCTGTCCTTATATGGTGTTTCCCTGGCTGAGCCTTAAGCCCTGTGACTACCCCATTAGCAATGTGATCACTCTCCTTCCTTCACCATAGACCCATCACCTTTTGCCTTGGGCAGCTGTATAAGGCAGGAGTGTAACAAGCCCAGAATGAGATCACATTCTAGAATTGCAGTGATTATGGATGAAGAGTTTAGAAGAAAACAAGGTTAGAAGATGTATCCTTCTACTTTTAGGCTAAGTAAATCTAAGAGATAAATTTAGCACAACCAGACACTTGGCACTTGTAATTGTCCTCAAAGAAGTCCAATGTAACAAATAAGAGAGTCATTGGAAACCAGAATTCAAAGTGACATAATCAATGGTATGGTGTTATAAATAATGATGTGACCATAATTAAATTAAATAAATGGTGGTAGAAAACTGAGAAGATTTATCTTTACCAATAGGGATAGATTCAAAACAGCTGTGAAATAATGAATAATAAGAGCATTGCTACCTTTTTTATGGACGAAAAACACAAAACTAACTAAGAATGATGTACTTTTGACAATAAAGAAGGTATTTCAATCATACATAGCATCATAATTGCTCAGTCAAAAACAAACCGTACCTACAGTGGTGCTCCCATGACTATCAGAGCACTGGAAAATTCTTATCACCTAGTAATGTTGTAGTTGCTACAACATCATCGTACAATCACAAAGACTAAGTCACAGAATCCTGAATTAACTCTGGAAATCCAGAATGGCAAGTATAGTAAAGTGAATTTTACACAATTTTAATCATGGAAGTTTGTGCTATGAGACAGTAATGATGATTCATTTTATTTAATAATGTAAAATAATGAAAATTTCCCTCAAATTAAAATACATCAAAGCTACAGATTTAAAGATTTAGTGATGATAGCGTTACTTTCGAATCACTGTAATTGATCTATGATCATCCAAATTCTCTTTCTCCTCTCTCTCTCTCTTAATTTCTCTCTCTTGCTGTCTCATAACTAATGATTAATAGACCAATACTTGCACAGCACCAAAGAAAAGTGCCTTAAGCATGTTAAGATACACCTTGGAAAGGAAGAATCTTCTCGGCTATGGAAGATTTGTAACATTTAATAAAATGTTATACATAATGGTGTATGCGTAGGTGGAATAATAGCTGTTTCTTTCCATTTTATTTAATTCATGTGAACCTTATAATTTCTTCAATGCTAGACTATAAATTATTTGCCTGTTTAAGTGTTTTTCACTTAAATATTGCATACAAATGAAAAATCATCTTTGTACATATACTCTGTCTTCACTTTTGACAGATTCTTGGCTTAAGTTGATACACTGGTACATTCAGCACCTCCATCCTGTGTTTGAATAGAGTAGCCTGCACCAATATAGAGCACAAAGGTGTCAGGCTGGTGGCAGATGGCCTGTGCCACCCACAGTGGTCACTCCCATCTCCACAAATGCTATATCAAATATGTTGCTCATCTCTTCCACAATCTAAAGAGACCATTGACATGCATACCAGTGGCTCTGAGTTCCCTGATTTCTTTCTTAATTTACCTAGCGAGCTGATATTTAGACACCAGAAAGTAGGGTTTTTGAAATGCTGGTCTTAATAATTGAATTAAGGAGTAGTGTCACTGGGAAGTAAGTAGCTGTAGACTTGGCATGCTGTAACAGAGCAAAGGAGCCCACACTATTTGGCTGAGGAAAGCCTCACCCACTTCATAACTTGATTGGTGGTTTGAAGAGCCCCAGAGCTGAGCAGGAGGAGTCACAGTATTGTCTAGTGATCAAAGTGAAGGTAACAGGCAGATTCACATTCTGATGTTTCAGGTGACGATAGCCCACGTCTTTGAGTTTGGTGCTAGGCTGTAAGGATCAGAGGCAGTAAGCCCCAGCGACTGTCAAGAAGAATATGTGTCAAAATTAATTTTTCTCTATACTATGAGAAAGACAATCCTTTGATTATTAAAGTTATAATAAGAAAAAGTATTGCATAACACCACAAAACAATACCTTTTTTTAAAAAATGTATTTAGTACAGGATCTCCAGGGTCTCGTTACACAGATTGGACTCATAGTGATCC